TAGCAAAGGCACTGTAAGTCCCGATGGTCCCTGGTATGGTGATCAACCTTCAGTTGTTGGCCATCAACAGCCTGTTTTTAAATTGTATCGTCCTCTGTAGTTAAAGTATTGTAGATTTAATTACTAGTTTTAAATATATATCTAGTATAGTTGGTTTCACTGTCCTTTGTCAGACATTTTAAATTGATTACCATGTTTTCATTGCTAATGACCCTGATGAACCTGGACTTGGATTTCGCTACCTTGGATGTACTATCGAGGACTGCTACTTCCAGATGATCCGATTGTTGTAAGCAGTTCTCCCAACAGTCTCAATAGTGTGTACTGTTATGCTTGCAAATGAGAACTAGTATACAAAGTAGGTAAAAGTACTACTGACTCTTCCACCGCATCATCACAACCCGTTTCCACGTGTGTTTTGCGGAGATGATGAACTTCACCATATAGACTCTATCATATATGTAGGAGTACATATAAGTAGTCTGAAATCATCACTTGAACGATCACAAATGACATGTGAAAAACTCAGGAAACTGATAATCGTCAGTCACAACTCTGGACTCTGGACTCTGGACTTTGGAGGACTCAATCCTATAGCATCCACGCGTGTGTGGGAGAGAGTAATCCTGCCTTGTGCTCTGTATGGATGTTTCATCTGGAGACAACTTAGCCATTGAGACAACGACATGCTTGACACCATCCAACGACAGTTCTGCAAAAAAGGTACAAGGGTTTCCAAAGCAAACACCTAACCAGGTTGGACCACTGACCTAATCAGTGTGCAAGGCTGCATAGATAAGCAATTTCTGCTTATGACTCTCATAGGAGAATATTATTACATTGATTTTTGTCATGTGTAGAGTTAAAACTCTCAGATTCCTAGGTATTTCGACAACAGTTCTGTTTTCGATCACTAAGCTCACGAGGTTCGGTACTTTATTATTGTATTTGAGTATATGTAAACAAAGTAATAGCCTACTTGATTGCACCACCCCCGTGACTCTCAGGTGACTTGTGCACACGTCACTATGGATTTCTTTCTTTCTATTGATTTTTATTGGTCATAAACATGATAGAAAGGTACGTCGAGGTAGACAAAATTATTTGCAATCAATGTGCAGTTTCTGATAATAGAATACTGTTGTTTTGACATGTGTAGAGTTAAAACTCTCTAATCTGCAGGTATTTCAAGAATTGTCCAGTTTTCGATCACTAGGCTCACACGTTTATGTTGGGTATTTTAGTATTGCATTTGATCATATGTCGACTAAGTAATTGCCTACTTGATTATATATTCCGGATGATGGAGTGGAAACCTTCTTTGTTTTACATGTATGTCCCTTGTTTTACGTTTTAAAAACTTAAACACCATTTCTAATGCAAATACCATTAAAGACAATAACTGCAATGAACACAACTATAAAGAACCTATAGTATAAGAATAGTAACAGCTAATTGCAGAGGGTTAGCAGAAAGAAATAAAAGACAAGAGATGTGTAATCCTAAATATAACATATGTTACATTTGACCTCTTTCTCAAATGTCATTGTGTAACCATAGCTGTCGGCCGTGGGAGCCGTGCCAATTTACACTTCTCAGAGGGGTACTCAAAGTCCGCAGTCTAGACTACCAGTTGTCCGACTTCCATTTTGTGGAATTCGCGGTGGCTAAGCGGGTTAGGCGGCTGACTTTGTGTGCTGGCGATTAGGTGCCTGACTCTGAGGGTGCGGGTTCGAATCCCAGATTTGTACTTTACAAAGAAAGTGTAATCCCAAATATAACACATGCAACAATATTGAAATCAAAGTTCATTTATCCCTAATTGACGAAAATGGCAATTTCATAATAACTGACATAACAATGGATGGAATGAATATTACCCTAACTAACCTGTATCTAAATTCTATACTAAATTATTTCATGATATCGTGGAATTCAGAAATGAATCAGTTAGTATCTGTGGTGACTAAAATCTGGTGCTTAACTCTTCAGTGGATCTTGAAAAGTACAAGAACATAAACAACCCCAATGCAAGAAATACCGTTCTGGAAAAGATTGAGAAATTTGATTTGTTAGATATTTGGAGAGAACAAAACAGTGGATGTAAAAATATTACATGGTGGAAGAGAAACCATCAGCAGCAAGCTAGACTCGATTGTTTCCTTGTCTCTCAGGATCTGTTCAATGTATCTTATGAAACTGATATTGTCCCAGGTTATAAGTCAGACCATTCCCCAATTATACTACCTCTTTCAAATAAATTGATTAATGAAAGATGCCGTGGTTATTGGAAATTCCATACCGCACCGTTACGCGACGAAGAATACACAAAAATTGTCAAAAATACATTACATGATACTCTGCAGGAATATGCAACACATATAGATCTCAAGTGTTAAATGATCAAGGATATTCTATGATAAATTGATTAAGAACAATAATACCCCTCAGGTACTAGAGTACTGGAATACTGTCTTTCAGCATGATGTGATTTTGAACGATGTATTCATATATTACAGGAAATGTACAAAAGACTGTAAGCTGTTAGACGTTTAGTACAAATGTTTTCACAGAATAATATATACAAAGAAATAATTGTTGAGGAAGAAGATAGTTGACATTGATATATGTAATTTTAGTAAAAATTCCCTCAGAAGACATTTTTTTTTTCTTTTTTTTTTTCGTTTGAATAAAATATTTATTAATACAGGTACTTACATTTGCAGACAGTGCTCATTATTATCATCCCTTAAAATAAAAGTTATCACAGAGTTTTGGGATGACAATTTTAACAATAAAAGAACTACAGAGGGGAAGTGGGGCCATAAATCGGGACCTAATATTCTAATATGGACATTTTTCCCAGTTATTATTAATCTAATTATAAGAAAGATAGTAGATATCAATATTTATACCATGCATTTATCAATTTATACAGTCATATAACAGTTGAAAACATGCGAAACAGGGACATAAAGCAGAACTAATTAATGCAGCATTACATTTGTAACTTTATAGCATAATATTACACGCATTACATTTATAATAGGCACAGAAGACAAAATGACGGCCTATTCGCAAAAATGAACATCATGGAAAGAAATACATATATTACAATAGTGGTATTATTATAATAGTTAACAATGAAGGCATATTGCAAGAGATAATCCGTTAGAAGACATATCGCATGTATGTTTTTACTGTGATTTAGTTAAAAACGTGTGGCATAATGTAGAACAATTTGTATTTACCCATCTCCAATGTAATGTCACATGTACAAACTTCATTATCATATTTGGAGTGTGCTCAAACAATACAATACTAAATGATATTATATGTTTTGAATAAACAACGCGGAGTCTTCTAATATCCTTTTAATGACCATGTGGATCTGAAGGTATTTTCTGAAGAGTGATTTCTCCAAAAAATATGTTGGGCAAAATGTACTCTATGTTTGCTCTGTTGCTCTGACTGACGTGCTCTGTGCGCGCATCACCAATTGCCTAAAACACTAGTTTAGAAAGGGAGATAATTTGCATCAATAATGTCAAGTGATGCAAATTAAGGAAGTTTCTACGTTTCCAGAAAATACAGATTACTTTGTTACTAGTTTCAAATGAAAGTGACACAAAACAAATCTGTACTAGTTTACACCTCTAGCATAGAATTATAAACACTATAAAATCCATGATACACACCCATGATACACAAACAGTGTATACAACTCAAAGATCAGTAATAATAATATTAAGGTTTCTTAAGTTTCAAAACACCTGTTTAAATAATACCCACAATATACTACCTGTTTCAGGAAGTCCTCTCTTTGGCAAAATAGAAAGATCCATATTTCGGCTACAAATTACTAGTATTGATTTCATAACATATCACCATACTCACTCACAGTGATTTTCCGAATAATAAGAAACGTAAATTATGGGTGAATGTATTTCTAACAAAAGTACATATGATCGTCAACCATCCATAATTCAACCAGATTCCATAAAGTTTCAGAACATTATACTTCGAGCCAAAGGATGTATTTATGTTTCAAGTATGAAACAACATGCTCTTTCTTTTGAGGGATTTTTAAGTTATTAAATGATATATGTACAACTGAAAAATGCATAGCTGGGAAAAATAATCAGCTTACACCCCTATATAAGGAAGTGGAAACATGTATCTGCCTTATTATGTACTGAGCATTGAAGCTCTCTTAAAATATCAATTGATATATCCAATCTCCACTCACTAAAATCACAACTATTAAATCTGATTCATGCAGTTCTATCTTCCCTCTACAGAAACTTTAACGATATTTTATGTATCTGCTTATGTTTGGAAAACTCTGTAGATCGCACTGTGACATGTATTTTTGGAAGATGTCCAAATATCGCCTTGGCCAACATCAGAGTGATAACATTGACAACAATAACTGTAAGAAATCCCCACTCTTCAAAATTCTTCGACTTGGTAAGAAACATGACATGCGTGACCTGCCACGGAACTACATTGATCATTCAGTCATACCATCAAAACCAGTCATGAATCGCTTCATCACTGAGAGAATAACGCAAGTGGAGACTAAGTCATTACAGTGACAAATATCTGTCAGAAAGGATTTGAATAGAAATGCCTTGATCAGACAGCATGATATACTGAATACATAGAAACTAACTATTAATGATCCGGCAAAAGTAAACATTTATCAACGATAGCAAAACTCGGTGTCAGCAAAATCAAATCTGGTGAATGTGTGATGACATTGAAAGAAATGAACTGTTTGAAAGTTTGTGTGATATCATTGATGTGATTACCTTTGTTGACTGGTGGTCCAATGATGGCGATGTCATTATGTCTCACCATGTACATGACGTCATAGCATTGTCAGGGCATTGTACAAAATATACTGTCAAAACGATCTCGTTTGATCTCACACAAGCGATATCTCACGTGGAACAGTTTTGGATGATATATATATATAATTATATATTATTGAACGGGGGACTTTGTATTCAGCAGCGTCCGTCCGTACGTACGTACGCCCCGATTCTTGTTAACGCGGTATCTCATGACCTGTTGTTCCCAATATCTTCAAATTTGGTGACACTGGGGGAATACACAGATACCAGTTGACTTGGGTGACCTTGACTTTATCTTCAAGGTCACCACAACACTTTGACCACTTTTCAGACATTTGTTAACGCGATATCTCATGAACTTTGGGACCCCATGTCTTCATGGTTGGTGACAACCTACATTGGGGCATGACGCAGACACCAGTCGATTTGGGTGACCTTGACCTTATCTTCAAGCTCACCACGACACCTCTAACACTTTTCAGACACTTGTTAACGCGATATCTCATAAAACATAGCACTCAATGTCTTCATTTATGTCGACAGCCTACATATGCAGACACCAGTCTTTATAGGAATCTTGTATGTGACCAAAAAGGAAAAACTAGTAAATATGTTATAAATATTTCATTCTTTTTAGCGGTGGGGGACATTGCCATATTGGTGGCAAACTCTTGTTCTCCTTTCATTTAACCACGCTTCTGTCTATCTGAAGAAGTAGATGACAGAAGACAGTTGTTTCATAGACTCGGCCATTGCAAACCATGTCATTCATAAGTCATAACAAAGAAAGGCAGGAGGTGCTATTTGTTGGTGAAGTAGAACTGATCTCGCCAAAATTAACAACTTGTGCAAAGGATTTACCTGTAATACATGTCACTGTATTTCCATCCATCCAGGATCATGGGTGACTGACACTGCCCTACCCCCCACAAACCACCCCGAAATGTGAAGCATTACAGTCAGACGAATTTAAGGATTGCAATATCGCATTTTCCACGACTTCCAGTCAGAGTCGGAAATCAGCGTGAAAGATGAGGTCGTCCTGTCGAACAGTGTACATCTTTCTTGACTGTTCCTGTGACTGAACATCCCACACTGAGGGTGTAGAAAGCACCCTCTGGCACAGGTTAGATAGTCTGTGTTAGATTTGTCTTCGATGAGACCGTTGGTCCACTTGCCTGAGACACTGCGAAAATCTCCTTTGCATGTTTCTCCTGAATCAGCAAGAAATGAAACATGTTTTAGCAAACCGTGGTTTGTGAATAATAGTCTATTTACTGTGCATCATGTGTATCAGAAAATACAAGAAGTTTGACTATCTATTTGCAATTGATGGAACTACACAAGTAAAACTTTTGAGACGTTACCTAAACGGATTCGATGAGGGGTTCCATTGAAACTCTTCAGGCCTAATCGTTTGACAGAGCCACCTGTCGGGTCTGTTACATCGAAGACTTTGTTGACTCCAATCGTTTTGCCTTTTCCATAAGAAACGTTTCCATTGCCCCAATATGCCCAGAACCATCTGTAATATGAAACAAGATGTTACGAAGGCTATAATTCAGTTGTCATCCGTTCTCTCTGTTGATCACAATTGGAACTAGATGTTCATGTACATGAATTGTTCGTGAAAAATGAAACTACGAATTTCCTTTAAAAGGGTGCTGATTTAGGTTGTTCCTAACATTCCATTGCCCACATTTTTACACCACAAGCTAACGCTATATCAACGGCTCTTACGTATATTCAAAGACAAACTAAACATAAACAATACATAATCTTTTCCGATTCTCTTTCGTGCGTTCAGGCTATTAAGATCCTTCTTGTAAACAGAAATGACTATATTGTATAATGGTCTTGCTACTGGACAATGCGACATCGTCTTTTGTTGGTTACCCAGCCAAGTTGGCATTTCTCGGAACACAATGGCGGATCTTGCTGCTAAGGCAGCACTCAACATATCTGTGACACCACTTCTTATTCCATACTCTGATTAAAAAGCTAGCATTAGAACCTACATCCGTGATCTGATGCAGAAGAAGTCCGACACCCAAGTTGGTATCAATAAATTACATGCAATAAAACCTTATATTGGTTACACCTACATGAGTTGTCAGTCCAGATTTAAAGAGGTCATCATGCGACGATGTCGTATTGGCCACACAAGATATACTCATGAATACCTATTGAAAGGTGAGGATCCTCCGTTTTGGATCCCTTCTGATAAAAGAATCACGGTCAAGCATGTCTTGAATGACTGTGTTGAATATTCCATCACAAGGGATAACTATTTTAAATCACGAACTATGTAGAATCATTTTAATAGTATCAGTTCTCATTTAATCATTGCATTATTAAAACAATTAGATTTGTTAAATGATTTGTAAATAAATACATATTTTATTATTGGTAGTTTAAATCAGTAACTGAGATGGTTAGTGGCTGTACTCTCAAAGGGGGTTGAAGTAGCGTAAAATTATTGTCCTCCTGAGAGGGTACTTTAAACGTAGTATTCTTGTTTTAATTTTGGCTAACATTTCTTACAATCGCCAGCAGCTGAAGGGATGGTGTAAATCCAGCTAGGGTCCATGCAGGTAGCAAAGGTACTGTAAGTTCCCATAGTCCCTAGTATGGTGATCTACCTTCAGTTGTTGGCGATCTATAGCCCGTGATTTATATTGTATTGTCTTCTTTAATTAAAATCTTTTAGTTTGACATGCTAGTTTGAAATTCTAATCTGCGATAATCTAGTTATATTACTGTCCTTCGTTGACAGGTTTTTACAATTTACCATTACTTACTATGTATACAATTGATTGTTCTCGTCACGATATGGATGAAATATTGCCGATGTGACGATAAATTTTAACTCACTCACTTACTCACTCACTCACTTTTGTTGGTTACTCAGCCATGGTGGCATTTCTGGGAACACAATTCTATAGCCGTTTTTTACATTTTCCTGTCATTTCTACCTACCATGTTTTAGATTTCATTACTAGTTTTAACTGGATTTCTGTGATATACAAGTAGTGTTATTCTTCTTCGTCAAAAGGTTGTAATTTCTAATTTTATTGGTGTGTGATATAATCATTAATTGTTCTCGTCACGATATGGCTGATATATTGCCGATGTGACGATAAATATTAACTCACTCACTCACTCACTCTAGGAACACAATGGCCGATCTTGCTGCTAAGGCAGCACTCTGTGACACTACTTCTTATTCCATACTTTGATTACAAAGCTAGCATTAGAATTACATCTGTGTTCTGATGGAGAAGAAGTGGGACACATGCAATAAAACCCTATATCGGTTACACCTACTTGGGTTGTCCAGATTTGAAGAGGTCATTATGCGACGATGTCGCATTGGCCATACTAGATATACTCACGAATATTTATTGAAAAGTGAGGATCATCCGTTTTGCATTCCTTGTGATGAAAGAATCACGGTCAAGCATGTCCTGCTTGACTGTGTTGAATATTCCATCACAAGGGATATCTATTTCAAATCACGAACTATGAAGGATCTCTTTCATTTTTTTATTCTTAAAAGAGATAGATTTGTGAGTGAGTGAGTTATTATTTAACGTCAATTGGCAATATTTCAGCCATACCGTGACGAGAACATATGTGACATTGAAATGGAATAGATGCATTTTATAAAAACCTGTCAACGAAGGACAGTAAAACTAATAGAATATCACAAGTAGTGTGGAAAATTAAAACTAATAGCACTATTTGGACAATACAATTTAAAAACTGACACACAGACCTTCATTTAAAACTAGTAATCAAATCTAAAATATTTCAACTATAATGACAATACAATATAAATAGAGGCTATAGATCGCCAACGACTGAAGGCAGATCACCAAACTAGGACCAGGGCTTACAGTGCCTTTGCTACCTGCATGGACCCTAGTTGGATTTATATCATCCCTTCAGCCGCTGGCGATTGAAGTCAAATTTAGCCAAAATTAAAATGACAAGAATACTACATTTAAAACAGCTGGTAAATTTATATTTCCTTTGAATGTTTCGGGACTTATGTACCCTCACAGGAGGACAATAATTTTACGCTACTTCAACCCCTTTGGGGAACAGCCACTAACAATTTCAGTTACTAATCTAAACTACCAATAATAAAATATGTATCTATTTACAAATCATTTAACAAATCTTATTCTTTTAAAAATGCAATAATTAAATGAGAACTTATATTAGTAAAAAGATCCTTCATAGTTTGTGATTTAAAATAGTTATCCCTTGTGATTGAATATTCAACACAGTCAAGCAAGACATGCTTGACCGTGATTTTATCACAAGGGATACAAACAAAACGGAGGATCCTCACCTTTTAATAGGTATTCATGAGTATATCTTGTGTGGCCAATACGACATCGTCGCATGATGACCTCTTTAAATCTGGACTGACAACCCATGTAGGTGTAACCGATAGTTGGTTTTATTGCATGTAATTTATTGATACCTACTTGGGTGTCTGACTTCTTTTGCATCAGATGACGGATATAAGATCTAATAGCAGCTTTGTAATCAGAGTATGGGATCAGAAGTGGTGTCACAGATTTGTTGAGTGCTGTCTTAGCAGCAAGATCGGTCATTGTATTCCCAGAAATGCCATCGTGGCTGGGTAACCAACAAAAGACGATGTCGCATTGGCCAGTAACAAGCTCATTATACAATTCAACGATTTCTAATAAAAGTGGATGTTTACAAGAAAGATTTTTAATAGCCCCAAGACACGAAAGAGAATCACAAAAGATTATGTGTTGTTTATATTTACGGTGTTTATTAATATATTTAAGAGCTGTTAATATGGCGTTAGCTTCTGCTGTGAAAATAGAGCTGTTATTTGGTAGTCGAGAAGATATTGTTCTGGATCCAATGACAGTGGCACATGCCACCGCGCCACCATCCTTGGATCCATCAGTAAATAAGGATTTGTATGTATTTATATTTATTTTTTAATTGATTATATTCTTTTTTATATTGTAATTCATTAGTTACAGATTTCTTAAACTTTAACAGAGTTAGGTCAACTTCAGGCCTCACCAGTTGCCAAAAGGAGAAGAAAGAAGACGGGAAGGAGATATATAGTCCAGCTCAATGCCAGCAGCAGAAATGAATGCTTTAATTCTCAAACCAAATGCAAGAGGCGGAACAAGAGAAGGCTTTTTGTTGTACAGATTCTCATAAAGAGGATTAAAAACACAGTTAAATGCAGGAATTAACTGATTAGAATATAGTTTTGTTACATACTGCAAGTATAATTTTATACGGCGTTGTGTAAGAGATGGCTCATCGGCCTCGACGTAGAGACTGTCAACAGGAGAAGTTCTAAAGGAACCAAGACAAAGTCATAGACCTTGGTAGTCTACAGAATCTAATAGTTTGAGGTTACTTCTGCATGCTCCACCATAAACGATGGAACCATAATCAAGTTTGGAACGTACCAGTGATCGATATAGATGTAGGAGGGTAGCTTGTTACCCTCCCCACTTAGAATGGGAAACGACTTTCAACAAGTCAAGTGCCTTCAGGCATTTAGTTTTAAGGGATTTAATATGTGGCAGAAAAGTTAAATGGGAGTAAAAAATTAGACCCAAGAACTTGGCCTTCTTGACAACTTTGTTGGGCGTACTATCTAGAGATATTTCAGGGTCTTTATGATGTTTGTATTTACGGCAGAAATGTATGCAATTAGTTTTCGATTTAGAAAATTTACAGCCATTTTCAAGACACCATTTATTTATCTTGTTTAAACACAACTGCAGTTGCCGCTGAATGGTATGCATATGTTTTCCGCGACAAGAAATATCAAAATCATCCACAAATAACAATCCATCTATTGAATCATTTAAAACTTTTGATAAACTATTTATCTTTATACTAGATAGTGTGACAGACAAAATTCTGCCTTGTAGAACATCCTGATCCTGATTGTAATGATCAGACAGGGTAGAACCCACGCGGACTTGAAATTGTCTGTCTTTTAAAAGTTGGCTATAAATTGAGGAAAACTGCCTCGCAATCCGAAGCCATGTAAATCTTTTAAAATGCCATATTTCCACGTAGTGTCATATGCCTTTTCAAGATGAAAACAGATAGACACAGCGTGTTGTTTATTAATTAGAGCGTTTTTAACAAATGCTTCCAAACGCACTAACTGATTGACAGTACCTCTATTTTTATGGAAACCACATTGTATATCTGTTATAAGGTTATTTGTTTCCAAGTACCAAACAAGTCGATTATTTATCATTCGTTCCATGGTTTTGCAAACACAGCTAGTTAGTGAAATAGGTCTATAATTTGACGGATCTGTATGATCACGTCCAGGTTAAGGTATTGGTACTACTATAGCGTCACGCCATGAGGGAGAAAAGTTACAAGATGTCCAATATCATCAAAAATATTTAAAAGAGTTTCTAGACAGGATTCTGGTAAGTGCTTCAGGAGTTGATAATGTATGTTATCAGCCCCTGTAGCAGTATCGTG